CAGCTACTCTGAAAGAGTAAACCACCTTATTTCCATTTCCACCTGCAATTTAGAGCCAACTATTTAGTCCCACTATCCCCAATGGTGGGTTAGATGCTGTTAGATGCATTTTATGGTCAATGCAGGATGATATTCTAGTGAAGGATGTTGACACTAAAATAGTCAGAACCAGTTCAAAACTGGATTCAGATTCCATTAGGGTGGGGTACTGGGGATTAAAGGTATCCAGAACCCTCTCCAGCCTGAGGATATTAATAGTGATTGATTAAGAGGCAGGAGGTGGTGATGGCTTGTGTATTGCCCACAGCACTTCAGATGTACCTTTTCTAGGGGGGTTAATGATAATCAACAGTTCTCATCCCTCACAGATAGCTGGTAGCTGTGTAGGGCTGAGTAGAGGCCAGGTTTTAGGCATGGTACTGCCCTTAATGTCCTGAGAGCTACCATTTCTGAGTTAGCCAGAGGCTGGGGTGCAGTAAATCCAGAAGCTGTCCCTCCTGTGATATATATTCCCTTTACTTTCCATCCTGTGTGCCTGACCTTCATGCCCACAGAACTGCTTTTGAAAAGCAGTGCAAGGGTCCATGGCTTCCATGCTCCATTTTACATGGGGCATGATTTATCAGTAGAAATCTTTTAAAATGAAATTTCAGAGGTATTTCCTTCACTGACAGATTGGCAAACATCTTATAAATCACAATTCAAGTGCCAAATACCCTGCCAGTGATCAGCAGATTTTATCAAGCTTTTATAGCCTTAAAAAGCAAGTTCCACAGAACTTGTTCTAACTTATTAACTTGCTATTAGAAAATATCATTGAATGAGCAATATTTGCTACAATGCCATGCACACAAACCATCTACAATACCTGCAAATGAATGATATGTTCTTCTGATCTAAAAACACATATTCCTTATTATATTCTTGGAAGAGTGGGGAAAGTTACTTAGTTACAAAAACACCACAAATCCTGTGCACCATGTAAATAGTCTCATTTTATGCACTGACTTTCTTCACATCTGTGCAAATAAAGCCATTGTTACAAGCACAAAGAGCTGTGGCATACAATACATGCAGCTATGAAACCATGAGTGCTGCTACGTGTTGAGTCTTTAAATGGAAGTGGCACATCTGCTTTTGGCATAGGAGTGTAAATCAATCCAAGATGTTTATTAAAGAGTCAGTAACAACCTGTCCACACGCTCTTTCTTCCATCCAGCCTTGGGTTTGTTCTTGCTTTGTTATTTTCCTGGCAGTTAAACATGAGCTCTGTACACTGAAAGTATGTGGTGTTTCTTCACGTACGGATAACATAACATGTCACATAATATTGAACAAGTATGTGATGCAGAATGGTTTGGACAAAAATGCGAGCCAAAATGAGGTGGGGAGGAAAGGGTAAGTACAAACAGCTACAGAACAGTGACTGAAAGGTTTGTTGCTCTGCAATAAGGCAACTGTGTTTCCTAATGCCTTTAGAATTAACGAGACCTAGATTTGATTTCATGTTCCAGTTCTTGGCAATTAATGAGCAATATTTGCAATAGTGAAGGATGGTGAATATTTTCTTAGGGAAGTCAATAACTGACTTTGCATTTGCTGAAGGTATTTATACCACTGGGATTTCTACCACTAGATCTACCTGAGCTGGCCTGGTAGGAGTCAACATAATATTGGCACTGGCCAATACTGACATTGCAAACTGGCCCTTTTTGTGAGCAATTGCTGGTGTATTTGGCACAAGCTGTAACATGTTCCTTTCCCAGGGACTGAGGAGCTCTAGGGTTTGCTGTAGAACAGCAGTCCAAGGACAGCAATACCTTTTGCGGGCAGCCTGCTTGTGGGCTATCTGCACATAGCAGCACCTAAAAGATTGGACCTCAGGGTGAAGGCAATGGCTCTGGGTCTGACAGTAGAACCTGAGCCATGCAGTGCTCCTTCCCCTTCCATCAAAGGATGCACAGGAAAGCATCCTAGGAAAGGGAATCATCAATAACTAGGCAGGAGGAGCAACCCATTCTGTGTCCCAGTGAAGGGCCTACTTTGTAACACGTCTGAGTAACCAGAAGTATGAAGAAAAATACGATGGATGTTACATTCTTGACTTCCATGTGGGGAGATCATAACAGTGATGCTGTTCTTCAAATGCATTGAAGGGAACAAGATGTCCTGTCAGATACTAAAGGGAGGCTCATCCATTGGAAAGAAAATATCTCTTTCATATGATGGCAGTGGAAAACCACTGTTTTAAGAGATAAGATTGAAAAACAGACTGATGGGAAATGGTTCAGGAAGGCTTGTTGTGCAGAAGAGGGAATAGAAGCTGCTGGAAGTGTGCCACCCAGTGTTTTGTACTTGCACATTTAATTGACTAGACTGAACAAACATCTTCTGCAATTGTTCATTTCTTCTTTGTTAAAATGGTCGGGATATGTTAAAAGGCTGGATTCCACATGCATGTTTCAGTGATAATGTTACCTATCAGCTTTGTCCCAAAAGTGTCTAAGATTGCTGTAAATTTGTTAATTGGGTGTCTTTTCATCTGTAGCTGAAATTCAGATGAGGTGGATTTGCTCAGCAATACAAAACATAACGGGACAGAATTTATACCGTGATTTCTACTGCAGGCTGGAATTATCTTGATAAGACTTGTTACAGCATCTTGTTAAAATATTTTAGCCAGGGAAAAAATATTAATTAAATTGAATCAAAATACTCAGGTAGCCCAGAAAAGTTAAAAAAGGAAAAGAGAAAGTAATACTTTCTCCCATTTATTCCACCCACTCTTAAGTTTCTCCTTTTAATTTAATTTTATTTTATTCCATATGCCTGATAATGGGACTTTGTGGAACTGAACCTTTTGAAGTCACTGGGCCAGCTTTTTGGAGAACATCTCGGACAGGTCTCTTCATTTCCATTCCATTTTGTCTTTCTATGGCTGAAACATTGTTATTTAAATGAGTGCTTTCTAGCTCTGATTTTTTTAATGCAAATGTGTGCTGCTTCCCTATTGAATTGAAACCATCAATACTTCTTTTTCCCTATGAAAAGCAGGATAAAAAGTAATATTCTCAGAGCTGAAGGTGAGTTGGGATGTTACTTTTGTGTGAATTTAAGCTAAAAAAGGGAGATACATACAATAGTGAAGTATCAAAATACTGGCTCAATCTTCTTTCTTTTCAAGATATGATTAAAGCAGTTCTGTAAATTTCAAAGAACAGCTGATGCAGGGAAGGTGCCAAGACACAGCAGACCAGTCACACTCCCTCAAGGCATTCTGTATAAGCTGCTTAGAGAAGTACACACAGAAGTGAGACACTATATGCCTCCAGCAATCTTATGGTGCTCTATACCGTCCTTGCCTTTGAAAGTTGTGATGCATTTTAATTAGAAAGTAGGTGTCCTCTCATGTTTAATTTTTTGGAAGCTGTATACCAGGAACCATAGTCTGAACTTACAGGACATCTTAGAGGGAATAGCAAAGAAGGTAAAAAATAATATATCCTTGGCTTTCTTTAGAGTATACTGCATGCCTGTCTTCAGGCTATTCTTTTAGCTATAATGTCTAGAAATGTAGGGCTTTTTTAAAATCTGTGAATGTGGAAGTTCTCCAGTAATTGCATGCCTCCTGGAGCAGGAGCTTTCTGCTCATCAAATATTGCATGATATGAAAAATACCACATCCCATGCCCCCCGCATCAAAAGGGGTGGCAACACCTGAGTTGCATCCATCCCTGGTCTCTGCCTGCCGGACCAAGAGGCATGTGATGCTGAAGCACGTGGATTGTCTCACCCCTTCTCCCATTGGACAAGCACTCATCTTGCAGCAAAAAATGCCACTGTCCATGCCCAGTAGCACCCATGCCAGCAGTATGAGCAAACAGACCTCAGAGACTGAGCTCTCCTTTTAATCACAGAAGTTGTTGTTTTCTCTCAGTGTCAGTGGTTGTTGTTCCAGCCCAGGCTTTTATATATGTTATTCCTGGACTAACGAAAACTTGAAGTGCTGCTTGCCCTGCAATACCAAATTTATGGATGAGGAGACAACTTCAGCTTGCCAGGTGATAATTTGGCACCCTTATGTCAATGTTAAAATCCTATAGCTGTAAATATTTATTTGATATGAAATATAGTCCAGCTAACACATTATCATATGAATAAATCTAACCTTAAATAAAACATGTGCTCTCCATCTTTTACTCACTTTATAAAATTCTTGATTCTTGCTCTGTGCATTCTCAGCTTATTACAGCTATTCCAACGTACAGCAGTCTGTGGTGTGCCTTGATTTCTTTTCTAATACAACATTCTGCTTCTTGTATGTCACCTCTTACAGCTTTTGCAAAGTTGTGATTTGATAGGACAAGCACAGTGAGGGCATTAGGACCGAGAGAAAGACGCACACATTGCTCTGTATTATGTCTGGCAAAGTGCTTCCTGACTGAGTGCCGTAGTTATGTGTGAAACAAAGTCAGGGACCGACTACTTCTCATCTGTTGATCACAGTTAACTTGAAGCCTCTGAACGGGGGAGAGCTGTCAGATCTGCTTTCTGAGATACACTGCTTCAATCCAGGCAGCAATTGGAAACTTTGAAGAAGCAGGATCTACCCTTGAAAGAAACTATGAGAAATGGGCTTTCTTTCAACTTAGAATTTTAAAAGGGAAAAAAAAAATCAAAGCTTTAGCTACTCTTTCAATCAGCAAAGCATGCACTTTCCTAACTAAGCTGGGACTCCGCATAATAAAGGATCTACTTTATCCCACTGGATCCATGCTACATTTTACTACAGTAAGTACAATATTAATAGGAATGTTATAATTTTTTTTCTATAAATAGAGAGGAGAGCATGAAATGGCATCAGTGAAATGTGAAGGGAGCAAAAAAATCCTCTTGGCAGATAGTGAAAACCAGGGCTTTTGTGCAACCCGAGGACTGAAATCTGAGGAAGATTCAAGTGATATTTAACATGACCATCTGTATAATTTTGTCACCAACAGTATGTTCTTGAAGAAGAAGTGCAGATATGGATCACGTAAGCTGCAGTTTCTCTTGCTGTTTCTGATGCTGGGGTTTTTACTACTGATGGTTACAACGCTGAATCCACCACCCAGCAACCAGAGCAAGGAAGGGACTTTCCAGCCTGTGGAGTTCAACCCCCGGGAAGGGTATCAGCTGGACTTTGTGGAGACCCAAGAGATGCTGGAAACCCAGGAGGAGAGCCAGCAGTACTACCCTTTGGATGGTCTATCGCCTTTCATCTCCCTGCGGGAGGATGAGTTGATCATGGCCGTCGTGTCGCCCACCGGCAAAAGGAACCACAGCAGGGCCAGGAAGGGCTATCGCGTGGTGAAGCAGCAGGGCAGGCGGCCGGAGGGGAAGGCAGAGGGGGGCCCCGAGTCCCAGCCGCTGTCCCTGCCCCTGCAGGATGGGCAAGGGGCTGCGGCGGGGGAGCGGCCGCTCGGCCTGGAAACGCACGGCTTTAACGAGGTGCTCAGCGAGCGGATCGCGCTGCGCCGGGACCTGCCTGAGGTACGACACCCGTTGTAAGTAAAACACCCTATTTCACTTCTGGGGAAAAACCTGCCTCCTTCCCCGCCGCCGCGTCTCCCTGAACATCCACTACTGCAAACCCCGCACCTCTCCTCCTCTAGAGCTCGCGTCTTTCCTATCGAACTCCCGTCCGGGTCGGGCGCTCCGCTCCTCAGACCAGGGACGCTCCCAGCCTCCTTCGGGAGGTGGTTCAAGCCCTCAGAGCCGGCGGGCGGCAAAGGTGGAGGGGGGCACGGTGCGGGAAGGGCAGCTGGGGCTCGCTGGGTGAGCGGAGCAGAGGCGCGGAGCGCAGCGCCTGTGGGGGCGGTGTGAGCGCTGCCGCGGCACCCCCGCACCCCCGGCTCGGCTCGGCCCGGCCCCGCTCCGGCCCCGCCGCGCCCTGAGGCCGAGCGGGCGGCAGCGCCCCCTACCGGCGCCAGCGTCACGGCAGGTGCCGGGGGTGGCAGGGCAGGGAGCACCCCGGGCCCCGCCCTTCTCCGTCCGTCCGTCTGTCCGTCCGTCCGTCTGTCTGTCCGGCTGCTGGGCTGCAGAGGGGGAGGGAACCCGCGCCGGACTGGCGACTGGCTTTCCTCTTCGGCCGGGCCCCGTCTCAGCCCACCTGCCGGAGCTATGGGGTCACTGGGCTCACAAAGTGATGAATGGGTGAAGAGTTGGGGCTTTCGGCTCTTCCAGAACAAAAGTGACCCGATGGTCACTCATAAAAGTGGAGCCGACTCTGCACTGGTGTGGCCTCACTATATATTTATATCGTGTGCAGTTTTGGGCACCACAATATAAGAAAGATATAAAGCTGTAGAGGAGGATAACAAAGGTGGCAGTGGGTCTGGAGAAGAAGCCGTGTGAAGAGCGGCTGAGGTCACTTGGTTTGCTCAGCCTGGAGAAGAGGAGACTGAGGGGAGACCTCATTGCTCTCTACAGGTTCCTCACAAGGGGAGGAGGAGCGGCAGGCACTGATCTCTGTGGTGACCAGTGACAGGACCCGAGGGAATGGCCTGAAGTTGTGTCAGGGGAGGTTTAGGCTGAACATTAGGAAAAGATTCTTCTCCCAGAGGATGGTTGGGCACTGGAACAGCTGCCCAGGGAAGTGGTCACGGCACTAAGCCTGACAGTTCAAGGAGAATTTGGACAATGCTCTCAGGCAAACGGTGCGACCCTTAGGGTGTCCTGGGCAGGGCCAGGAGTTGGACTCAATGATCTTTGTGGGTCCTTCCAACTCAGAATATCCTCTGATTCTGTGGCAAGTATTGAAAGGAAATTCCTGGGAAGAGGGAAGGTGGATACTGGTGTGTCAGACAAACTCTGCCAACACCACAGCTGCCACTGTAAGGCCATTTCGAAAAAATGTTGCATTTGAAGCCCCAGGTGTTACATTTGAAGTCTTGAGACTTTAGAGCCAGTTGTCCCAGCAGCCCAGGAAGGGCTGCTCATCACACTTCTTAAAAAGGATCTGAGGTGTATCTACTATCAAGCTGCCCCAGGGAAAGTCCAGGTTGGACATTAAGAAGAATTTCTTCAAAGGAAGGGCAATTAAACATTGGAATGAAAATGTCCAGGGAGGTGTGGAGTCACTGAACCTGGAAGTGTTTAAGGAAGGACTGGACATAGCACATAGTGCTGTGGCCTCCTTGAGAAGGTGATGACCAGTCAAAGACTGGGCTTGATGATCTCAGAGGTCTTTTCCAACCTAATTGATTCTGTGATATGCTTCCCTTCCCAGAGGGAGCACAAGGAATGTGAGTGGTGTCTTGTCTCCTGTAACAAAAACAATTGTAGTTTTATCCCAGGACATGGTGGAAAGACATACTGGAAAACATTTTCTATCAGACCCATAATACATTTTTTTCTAGTGTTCATTTTCACATATTTAAAGATAGCTGGCGGCCCCAATTTAAGGGTACAGTCTCAAAGAAAGAGAAATGAAGGAGTGTTTTCTGTACTTATTGACTAGGTTTAGTGTTAATTTGGTTAACTCCATTAAATAATGACATGCTGGTATTATTTCAGTTATTTTTTGGCATGCTTCACTGCTAACTCTTCAAACTATGTAATGTTCAAAGGGGAGTGACTAGCCTGGTTTACTGTCTTTGGTGGAAAGCCAAAAAACAGTTTTACATTGGCAGCTGAAGGGCCATCCAACAAGATACAGCTTCAGTTAATTCTGATCTTGGTAACATTTAAGCCATGGTCTCAGAGCTCCTGGATGGATTTTGCTGTCTCACTAGTTACAGCCTAAAGAGTTCTCAACACCACAGCTTACAGAGTCCAGAAACCCCAGATGTCAGCATCTGAGGCTGATTTAAATCCAGATCATAAACCTGAAGCAGAATATGTCTAAGCCAGACCTGTCCTTCATGGCATAACACACAAACCACAATGATGATTTGTAGGTGTAGTTTACTCTGGGGGCCTGGCTTACAACTATGTCAGTCCAGTTTTACAGCAGTATAAAAAGAGAGCAAACCAGAATCAGATTGTCTGTGTCTCTATTCGGTTTGCATCATGTTGTTCATCACAATGCCTATTATTATTTAATTAGAGGGAAGCCAACTAGTTAGAGATGTTTCAGTGAGTTACCTCCATGGACCCAGTCTCCCTCAGGTCACTTGAAATGGCATGGCAAATACTTCACATAAGAAGCAGCCCATGCTCTGAGGTACCTTCATCCCTCAAAGTGCTTTCTGCTGCTATCAGTTGCTCCAGCTGGGACTGACACTCTCCTGGGACACCTGAATCAAGCCTGCCATTGTGACTTTTATCATGGGGGTTCTGCCCAAAAGAAAGGTCTGTTTTCCTCTCTTGGGTTTGAGTGCCAAATGGCAAAAGAAACTCACAAGGTATCTACAAGTTTTAAGTTTCATTACCAAAGTATAGCTTCCTCTGGAGTGCTGTTTGGAGCTGAATCTCAATTAAATATTTTCCTGAAGGTGAGTGGGAGTCCCTGTCAGCTCTGCCTTTGCCTTGTCAGAATTGCTCTCTGTTCGTTGCTGCATGTGACAATTCCTTGTTTTTCACAAATTAGATTAAATCACTATGTCTCATATCAGTCACAGCCCTGACTTTTTGAAATGCCAATTTATGATAGACAGGCTATGAAACTGCTCCAAATTACAGGGAAGGTATTTTTGTGTACCAGTACCCTTGTGCATTTTTGTGAAGATTAGACATCTATATTGCAAGTCTTTGCCAATCTCCATGGCAACTAAGCACTTGCCACCAAGGTTATGTGTTCAAGTACCGTTATTTTCAATTCTTTTCCAATTAAGATTTCACAACAGCCTTATTTTCTTGCTATAACCACAGAACTAGCAACTAGCTGCTAATAGCTATAGAATGTTTCTGGTTAGAAGCTGCCTGATACTAAAAGGACTGAATTAGATCTTCACTTGTCTTAATTATTTCTCTATTCTATTGCTTGAAAATACTCACTCCCAAGTCATGAGAATATTCTTTCCTTGATCCTGCTGAAAATGGAAACAATCACGTTATATGAAATTATGAGGTAACAGTATTGTTGATTACAAAAAATTAGTAAACCAAGGACAATATAGATAATTTACAGTGTAAAAATAATCAAGAAAATTTTCCTTTCTATGCAAAAAAGTGAACTATTGAAAAATGCAATAAATTATTAAGATTGTTCTCATTTCAAATATATATTCTATAGAATACATATTATTCTACAGTATACATATTATTCTACAATATACATATTATTCTATAATATACTATAAAAGTGCATCTATAGTAATCATTTATGTGTATTAAATAATTCAGACTATGGAATCTCTTAAGTGATTAGCAGCTTTGTGTCTGGATAATGTCTAGCAGCATAGAACCTCAGTCCATGAACAGAAGCACTAAGTAAAACACTAATAAACAGAAATACTAAAATTATATCCCTTACATGAATTTCTGCTGAGTAGCCAATTGTTTAACAACCACTGTAAACTCTGTATAATTATTTGCTTGGCAATACAAAAATGCTGAAATAACAATGGGCTACATTCAGCCAATTGTGTAATTCCTTGAAGAAATTCTTGCTGCTGGAGATTAAATGAGTTAGGACACTGAATGACTGTTATTTGGAAAATAAAAAGATTTTTAAATGTGCTTTCTAATGTCAGCAAAATATAGACATAGTCTTTGTATATCTACAATGGGCATTTGAAAGTATTTTCTAAAAAATGTGCACCCTCACACCAGAATAGATGGTTTTCATATACAGTTTCTGTGAGGATGAATGGGAAGTGTTTGTCATCTTTAAATGTTTGAGTGATTGTGGTGGTTTAACACCAGGTGGGAATTAAACTTCCCCCTGTTCCCCTCTGGTGAGGGAGGGACAAAGGATTGACTCTGGGTTGAGATAACAATTTACTGAAAACCAACAGCAATGGAGTAAAGAAACACACAGTGACAGCAGCAATGCTAATAACAGAAGTATACAAAGAGAGAAGGTGCTTTACACACAAAAGGCATTCACCACCTTGACTTAGCTCTGCATGGCCACTGAGACAAAGACAAGTGAGATGTTCCTGTGTCTTGGCAATGACAGTGGTTATTCCAGAGACAAAGACAGATGGCAGGGGGATGTTCCTGTGGCTTGGCAGTGTACTGCAGTTATTCCTGAGACCAAGACAAGATGGTGGCCCTCTCCTTACCCAGTGCCACATAGCCTCCTGAGACAAAGACAAGATGGCAGACTTTCCCGGCAGGCAGTGTTCCCCAAGCCCAAGACAATGAAAAACAATGAGGGAAAACAAACCCCCAAAACTGTCCACTTTGCACCATGCCGCCCGCTTCCAGACTGCTCTGCTGGTTTGATTGCACACTGACTCCCAGCTGGGAGTCTCATTCACCAGTGATTCATTTTCATTGGAAAAGCAACCTGTACAAACCTTATAATGAAAATACATTTTCTTTCTTAAATGTATCTATATTTGTAATCATGGCCCATATAAGGATCCATGTCATTGCCATAAAGGACTGAGATGTTGGCTTCATTCACTAGGATCTTGGTCAGGTAATCCACAGGTATACTGATCTGTTGTGCAGATGACTTATTTCATTTGTTAGTCTTAATGGTACTGCAATTGTTTGCTCTTTTCTTTCTTACTTGGGAAAATGTGGAAATTAGTGGAAGCTGGCCTGCTTTATCCCTCACTCTACTCTAATTATCTTCACTTTTTCTTTACATTCTGGACTGTTTCTGTTTGAGCTCTGGTTTTTGAGGCAGACAGCAGGAATAAAAAACTATCCCGGAACACAGGAACACTTTCTTCTTTTTGTATTATAATTTGATAGTGCTATTCCCATATTTTCACTTCATATTCCAGTTTTGGATATACCTTAGTACTTTCTTTTTTTAGAAGTGAGTTGAGACCTTAAACTGCTCTCCACTCCTGAAAGTTTAGGTGCTGCTTGCAACTTTGCTCTGAGAAAAATAATTAGCCATTTGTTCCAGTGGTTCCAGTGTCTTGCTCATCTCACTCATGCAGGTGCCTACAGCAAAAATATGACTCCAGTCTGCCTACTGCTAGTGTCATCATCTGTTTCCATGATGAAGCCTGGTCTACTCTGCTGAGAACTGTGCACAGCATTATGGATACAGCCCCAAAGGCCTTACTCAAGGATATCATCCTAGTTGACGATCTCAGCCAGCAAGGTAGCTCCCATTTCTCTCTATGTGAGTTCTCTTTTCAAAACTTCAGGGAAGAAACTGTCCTCCTCTAAGAAGTGTGTGAGGAGAGGAGAAGGCAAAGATGACTCCTGGGAAGTGAGCTAAGCACAGCCCAGAGCTGGCTACCAGGTTTCACTGTCCATCCCTAGAATTCAGCATAGCCTTTCAACTTTGAGATAGGTTTCTGTTTTTACCCCCACATCCTTTACAACCACTCTGAACTTTCTTACTTTAAAATAAGATCACAGTATGTAAATCCTAGGATTCCCACTGGACCAGGTCTGCTGTCATAATTTCCAGACTTGGATTTTGGCTGAAGCATAGAGTGGAAAAGTCCACATTGCTAAAGTAGTCCAAAGTGCTTGGGAAAGCCAAACACCTGTAGTATCTCACTCTCATCTGTGTATTTTATGAGATGATGAGAGCATCCACCTTTTGCTGAAAACAGGAAAGGAGGCTATTAAGATTCCCACAGGAATAGCCTCATAACTTGTGAATCTCAGTTTCCATTAGTCTCTACTTCCCTTTGACATTATGCTGCTATAGAAATATTTGAAATGTGACCTACTTGGCCATTTAAAACAAATGCCCCTGAAACATTTTCCCAGCAAGAAGTAGCATCTCCTACTACCTGTTTCTTTTCTCTAACAGCTTGAATCAAAGCTAAAACATTTCAGTGACTGTTGTGTTTCTGACAGGGCCCCTGAAGTCGGCTCTGAGTGAATACATCTCTAAGCTGGACGGTGTGAAGCTCATCCGGAGCAACAAGAGGCTTGGAGTCATCCGCGGTCGGATGCTGGGAGCCGCTCGGGCTACCGGGGACGTGCTCATCTTCATGGATTCCCACTGCGAGTGTCAGAAGGGCTGGCTGGAGCCCCTCCTGGCCAGGCTCTCCAGCAGCAGGTAAATATCCCTGGGTATGCTGATTTCTGCTGAAAGGGACCTGTTTGGAAAGTGTTGGGTAGTTTTTGTAATCCTCCCTTGGTTACCTTCTTGCTTTTGGTCACATCCCTTTTATTTTCTACCTTATCAGCATATGTATCACTCTGATATGTGAGAAGCAGGATAGGTCTCATGGCTGATTACCCTCACTTTTACACCCTGTGTAAATTTCAGAATTTGTATCCTGTTAGAGCTTAGAAGCTTTAGAAGGCTTCCTGGTGGTCTGAATTAAAAAGATTTCAGTCTCAACCTGTTTGTAAATCAGCAGACATCCACCAGAGAAAATTACTGCAAGACTCCATTGTTTTTACTTTTTAGCTGTCTCAGTAATGGAGCCAAGAATAAAATGCTTTGTCCTCCTGAGCCAGTTTGGTGTGTACCATCTCACCTTTTGGCTGCCATTTCTCTTCCACAGAAAAAGCCCAGACTTCCAGGGCAATCTAGGCAGGTTTAGCTAATCACAGATACTTTCACTGACCCCAAAGTAACAGAGTAAGGTAGAGATTCATATTTCTGAGTATTTAATGTTTAGGGTGGTTCTTGGGCCTGCTTTCTAATCTACAGCTAGTCTCATCTATGCAGTCCTTTGAAGACGTTAAAACCACTGCAAATGTTTCTAGGCTTACATATCAGTAAATCTTTTATTAAAGGGACTTTTTTGAAAGAAAAATTTGTACATTAAATAATTGCTAGAGAGGGTAAAAAAAAAAGATCTTCAAACTCTTACTAGACTGTTAAATAGTCATGCTAAACACCTTCAAAGGCTGTTCCCAGGCACTGGAAGAAGCTGCTTTTATGGCTTATTATGTTTGTTTACAAGAGAATTAATGTGAGCTTTTAGAAATTATTATATCATTTGAATGAAAACATTCAAAGTACTGAAAGCAAGAGTAATGCTGTCCTAGAATGTCAGGAATATTCTTTTCAAAAAGGTCCTCCTTGGAAAAGCAGATTATTTTTTGTTTGCTGACAAATTAGATGGTTTACTATGAATATACTTCATGATTCTTCTGCCTTGAACTATAGTCTATTTTTGATGTTCAAGCCAAATTACTGTGTGTATCAATTGGCCAGTCCTCATTCAAGGGTGTTTGAACTGCTGAATTTAAAAGAGTTACAAAAAGTCTCAGAGGAGAGCTATAGTGAAGGGAGAATTACGACAGCAGGAGAGAGAAGTTAGGACCCCACACCCCCACAATGTCAAAAATTCACTGTCAAAAATTATCCTTCCTGAGGGAATGCAAAGCCTCCAAGTCTGCTATTCTTCAGAGATTCTGTAGCACTGTCACCAGGGGGTGAGAAGGGAATTCTCTTCATTATAGGGCCCATATGCTCATTCATTACCCCAGGAGAGCAGAATTTAACAGTGAATTAACTAAGATCTAATTGGATTAATGAAGCAAAGATGGAAAACTGATTGGATAATAGTATGGGTTAAGTCATCCCTTTTTGTGTGCTGTATCAGTCACTGTGTCTGACCCTGGAAGCTTTGTCACTTCTAGTGAGGAGAGCCTGTGACATCCTCCAATGAGGAGGGAGGATAAGGTCTAAGGCACCTGGCAGTCACCTTCCTTTACTGTCCCTCTTTCTCCAGCTGAAGAATGGTGACAATTACACTGACCTGATAAGGAAGTTAATTCATGACTTTTCATAAATTGCTTGTAATGCTTGCATGGAGAGCACCATGGAAATGTAAGGCACTGTCATAGTCAACTTGGCTTCATTTAGCACTTGAGGAGCTGTTAAATTGAATCATGTGCACTCCCTGAGACTGCCCAAGTGAGGAAAGCACAGGAATCTGAGAGTGACTGGTGAAATATCCATCTTTCCTCTTCCTAACGTACCGATCAAACTGTAACTCATGCACTTTTGCTGGATGGGACAGGATGGGAAAACAATCACCTGGAGTGAGTGAGTTGTTTGCTGGCAAGGACCAATGCAGCCTTTCAAAGCTCAAACCTTTTCAGGAGCTTAAGGGAGCTATAGAGTGGTTTTAACTTTAAAAATAGTGATTAAGCCTAATTTTCTAGACTCCTGATCCAAGTGTGTCAATATTATTGTGATCTGCCTTAGAGTGATGCTGAGAGATCCTTGCCCAGACTGAGATTTCACTGTGAGTTGAACATACTCACAACGAGAGAGATACTCAGTTTTTAGTAGACTGTAGGATAAATATAGAAAAATTATCCCAGTTTTACAGGTATAGAAATATTTATACAGAAATACTTGGCAGATATTTGACTTGTTCTAGGTAATGACATTTCATTTCCCTGCCTGATGGCTTTATTCACTAACCCAATCTAATTTATTTTTCTGAAAAAAAAAAATATTAAGTAATTCCAAAATCTTTGAATATACACTTTTGAGCACCTTGACTGGGACTAGTTCTGTGAACCATGGCTAATAAATTGACTGAGAAGCTGTGCATCAGCTTAGTATATTGCCTAGAGAATGGTTCAGTGGTTTCTAAAGCATTCCTTGACATTTTGATTATTCAAGGATGAATACTGTAGGTACCTGGACAATATTAGAAAACCACATGAGATGCCCCACAGATCATTTAATTTGACAACTGTTTGTGTTGCAGGCTAATTCCAGGTGAGTGGCATGGTGCATAATAATGCAGCTGTGCCATTATTACAGTCGTCTTTGGAAGGGTTTGCCTTCTCCAGGAGACTGCAGAGCTGCTATTTTGTATTCTGTCCAAAGGCAGGGAAAGGCAGAGGGAGCATATGATGAACAGTGCCATGAAGCCTTAAAAATGTTGTTCCTTTGATCTAAAACCAGTGGTCACCATGCTGAAACAGGATGATTAAAAAAATATCCAAAATATATTTCCTTAAAATACTTCATGAAAGCAAAATGAACCTTGATGATATCCTTGACAAGGAATTCCACCTGTAAAAGAGGCCTGGGCACCATAGCTATGGACAGAGGGGTGGTTTGCAAAGGGGTAGCTGGGCCTTGGGACCTCCCCCTGCTCCTCATTGCAAGGGCTGTTTCTCTCTGTGCTGGAGCACTGCCTAAACCACAGCTCAAATATTAGATTAGGAAACAGAAGCCTGTTACATTATTTAAAAGAGCTTATTTGGTTTCTAAAATTCAAAGTGCCTCTACTTAGCGCTGTGATTCTAGGTCACTTATCTTTAATGAAAATGCTGATAAACAGAATAAGAAATTAGCATAGCAGTGGAAAGGTGTTTCATCATCTGTGTGCTCCCATCAGGAACAAATGGAAGCCTCTGCTTGTAGATACAGGAATAGAAAGAGTTCTGCTGTCCAGAAATTTTCAGTGTGGTTCTGATTTTATGGTAATACACAAGAGAGAAGGGAAATATTTTGCACTAAAGCTGAACAGCTTCTTCATCTCTTTTAGTCTGATTCCCCACTTTTCAGTGGCCCATATCCCAGCTTTCTGAGCTACCAAATACATGAGCCATCTGTTTTCTAACTTCTCACAGTCTTGGAGAAGCAGGATGTTATCCATTCAGAGCCCACACAACCCCAGCATCTGAGCATGCAATTCCATGCTGCTTTCCCAGTGTTAAAGCCTTCCATACACTTCACATGTAACAGCCTACTTCCTGGGATTTCTGTGTTTGCTTGATCCTTTTATATCCCCCATTTGTCAATAACATTCATTTCAAATTCAGTAAATGTTCTGCATTTACATGGTAGGTTATGGAAAGATAAGCTATCTCTTTACAATCTTTCAGAGCTGATCAGGATCAGAAGGTGACCTATTTTAAAGAAGTTGAGGTAAAGAAAATAAAGACATGAGTCTACAGCCAAAGGCAAATATTACTGCTAAACACAGGAGCAATAAAGATTTAGGCATAATTCATGGCTCAGTGCCCTGACTGTCCAGTGTTAAAAGCTGTTAGTTACCGCTACAGATTTTGTTACTCTACATACAAATTTTAATATTTTAGCAAAATATTAAAAGGCAGGTTCAAAAATTAATTTTAATAAAGCATTCCCTTAGCACTCTGCTTTGCAGAGATTTGCTCAGTGCTTAGCATATGCATACTCCACCCATTTGAGTAGACTGTTCCTATGCCCTAAGTTAGTCTGGAGTTGGTCTGTAAGGCAGTAGTTAAGTAATCCTTTATAACATTCCTTATCACTGCATTTTATCTTCTTATTAACCCTATCTAATTTCAAGTGGTCTGTATTTCTAAGACTTTAGCCAGCAATGTGCTCTCAGTGGAAATGCAGCATTTTGTGGAACCAGCTTGGGTCCTCAGTTACTCACTGAAGTTTTGACTGGATGCAGAAACAGAGAACTGGGACTGCCTGGATTTCTTAGCTATCTAATTTTTGCAAGCTGTGACACACCCTGAAATAGGTTGAGAATTATACATAATTTTTATGTTTGGTTTTTAAGGGTTTCTTTTTCTCCTTATCTAAAGGAGGATTCAAACTGATTAAAATCTATTCCTTCCAGCAAAACACAGGGTAAATCAATACAAAAGTGCTTTAAAAAAAAGTGTATCCAATACTTCAAAACTGATAAAATAATTAAATCTTCCTCTCCTCATGTTACTTAGTTTAAAATTAGAAAAGAACATAATGTCCATGCTGACTGTAAAGGGTCATGGGAAGACATTTCATTTGCAATTGTACTTGGTAAAGAAATCTCAAACCAGGAAATTGTTCTTGTTTGGGTTGCTCTTTTTCATGGAATTGTGACCTTTTGTAATTTGTGTGAGTTCCAAGCATTTGAAATATTCACAGATTAGTCAAACAGTTCAAAGCCTTGCTGCTAGTTGTATTTGAATTTCCTGGTTTTTTCTTCCCTCAGATTCCACAGAGTAAAATTAGCAGTAGTTTGTGTTTCATTTCAAAGTGTTGAGAAGCTGCTGTCTGCCAGTTACCCAGTTAAAAACAAGAATAGCTAAGAACATCTTCCAATTACCATCTACTGCAAATTTGCATTTAGAACTACACAACTGCCAAACCATCTTTGAATATGCAGAAAATCGCTTTTTTTTTTATCATACCAAGAAAAAAACGGGTAAAGCACTGCTTGATTAGGATTAAAATTGAATATTGACCAATTTTCACACAAGAGAAAGTTACTAGATTCTTCTATTTCAGATCAGAAAGACACTCCCAATATTTAGTTTTAAGAAGGTGTGTTTCTGTTGGTTTCAGCAGAGCTACATCATGACTATACTACGCTTACACCAGTTGAAGGTCTAGAATTACTCTTACAAACATACTCTTGAAAATTGTTAATCTTGGCATTCTGAAAAAGGTACAAAAGTAGTAACTCTAAAACACAGTTATCAGTTTTACTGTATAATTTTGTGGGAAAGGAGATCAGATTTTATTTTGTTCTGGTTTATGGTTGAATTTAGCCAGGATATAACATGGCCTATTCCTGTGAGTTATTTTCAATTTAAACACTGTAATTTTCCATGCCATAATTTGCAGATAGTTTGGATAATTGCTTGGTCTCCAAACTATCAGAATCCATTATGACCTTACTGGTATATTTCTTGAATTGAAATCTTGAAGAATCAATGCCCAATAACTAGAACTACTGCTGTGGTGCCTACTCTTGTGAGCAATTGTACTCATGCCAGAAGCACCACTGGAGTTTGGAGGTTTATAGTGGCAACACATTTAAGGGGGATTAAAAAAAAAAAAAAAAGACAGGTTTTAAACAGTTACAGTGATATGAAAATGTAGAATAGTCTGAAATGTTTGGAATCTGATCCAGAATATATCTGTGTGTGTCTGTCTCTATCTGAACTATCCAGAATCAGTTCATGTGGTCTAGTCTGCATGGTCAAGGTCTTCTGAGTAGTTTAGTCTACATTGCCTCTGGCTTCTACTCAAATATGCCCTCCTGATATTTCCCTCTTGAATCTGAAATAGTAAAATAAACTACCCTGGGGTCATTAATTCCTTGGTCCTGTCTGAATGAGAATGGATAAACCAGTAGCAATAGATAGTGGGTTTCAGCAAGCAGCAGCAAACTGAGGTGGGAACTATGCAGCTGCCTCTACACTCCCAACCAGGCAGTTGTCAGAGATTCTTGTACACTGGAAAATGCAGCAGGCTGTAGAAATTACTGTTACAGTGACTTTTCATTTTTGACATTTAGTCATTTAAAATCCATTTAACTTGTCAGATGGATTTCCCCCAGCATATCAAAGAAAGGAATGCCTGTTTGAGTGAGCCCAGTGGGACACTACCTTTAGGAACTTTTAGAAGCAGGTAGTTTGCTTTGCATGCTGTTAGCGGGTAAAGCTTCCAGTAGAAAGGGCCCTGCTAGCTTGAGTCCTGGGTGGTTTCTCCTGTCATGGATACAAAACTGTATCACAGGGACATCATTAGGAGAATCAGAGAAGGATATCAGCTTTGTTATTTTTCGTATCACTTCTTTCCATTTCTTCTTGAGTCCTGGGGAAGGATGACAGGAACTCACTGCCTTGATGTATATGCCTGCAAATGCTGCATGTGACCATAAAATTTTCTCACCTATTTGTAAACCAGATGCTTGTTTCTAAGAGTGCTTATTATTGCATACTATAAAGGATAGTTTTATACCTGAGCAGAGAAATAAAATCACTTTTCTATTTTAAATCTTCCTGGCTTAAGCTCATCATAGGACAGTCTGCTCTTACTAGGAAAAAAACTGGGTCATTTTAAAGCAATCCTCTGCACAGTTCATCTTTGTACTCTCAACTAGCAAGTAGTAGTCTGTTTCTCTGTGGGCTTCTAAAATCCTCTACAGGAAATGTCAACTGTAAAAAAATAAAGTTGGGCATTTTCCCCCACTCTGATTCTGAAAAAACATTTTTCTAGTGATTGTAGAGGCAGAGAAGATATTATATTTCAGATTATATTAACATAACCCAGAGCTACCATCTTCCTTAGCTGGTTCTGGCTTCTGCCATGGAAAAATACAAATGTCTCGCTGCACTGGAGACTTCTGAGATGTCCTTCCTTCACTGGCAGTCTTATGTTTCAATAAAATTTCTCTCCTTGTCATTCCTGACCAACATATACATCTTAAAAGAGGAGATAAGAACATCTACATTTTGCCCCCAAACTGACCATTTCATGTTTGTCTCTGTTTTAATAGGAAGTTTTTTCCTAGGGAATAATTTCCTACATGGATATTCCTACTCTAAAATAACAATAATTTTTTTTCCAGTGTACTTTAATCCCTCTTAAATATTACTGATTTTTCTCCAGAAGTACTTCTGTCTACAGACCAGCCTTTGCACTGAGACCAGAGACTATCCTTTTGGCATAACAGAGAAGAAATGGAAACACTTTTTCCCTGCAGTCCCTAATACCATTTCATTCATACTCTGAAAATTTCCAAATGTGATATATCATTGACCTGAAAACAAGGAACACTGAATGTTGTTCTGAACTACCAGTTAATTCCAAGAGGATGTGCAAGTACACTGTGAAATACTGTGATTTCTTTGCCATAGGGAAATGTCTAGTACCTCTTCTCAGACTAATCCAAATTTAACTTAAGTTAGAAATAAATTCAAGGATTGCCACCTAGAGTGTAATGGCTCTGTTCTTGCTCTTAAAAGTAGGTTCCACCTTGGGACAGTGCATTTGCAAGAGCATTCTAAGATCGTGATAAAATACAAACAGGCACTGGCTTATGAACTCAGTAATAAATATTTTTTCAAAACAACCAGCAGAACAAAGGATAAGTGCACTCTTTATTGGCCTGATGTGACAAACTCATGAAGTGTGTGCAACATTTACAGGAAAATCAGAGGATGGTAAAGGGTGAGAGGCCAAAATCATCATCTTCTATAAACTTTGCATCCATGCAGAGCCTGCAGCATCAGAGGCTGGGGCCTCTGTATAAAATAGCTTTACAAGAATTCTGATGCTTAACTCCTAACAATATCCTAGATAGTGTTATATGACAATGCAAGGTACAGGGTATCAGTGAATTATTGATCTTTGGATTCCTCATTGCATGCTCTGTATTCCCACACAACAAGCATGAGCTTCTGTCAGCAGGGAAACTAAGGGCACTCGGCATTTAGAGGATTGCTTGTGCTTGGCAGTGTCAAAGAGGAGAACTAATGTTTACTAAGAGAGGAATGGACTTCATTTATGCTTTGGTTTGGGAAATAAGTGGTATTGTCTTTTTCAGAAACAGTGTCATCTCCCCTGTCATAGATGTCATAGACTGGAAGACCTTTCAGTACTATCACTCTGTGGGCTTGCATCGAGGTGTTTTTGATTGGAAATTAGATTTTCATTGGGAGCCAGTGCCAGAGCATGAAGAGAAGGTACGACAGTCTCCCATCAGCCCTATCAGGTAACAGTCCATCAGACAATGTGCCTTGCTCAGCTCAGCAGCAAAACTGTACAGTTTGGGTCATCTTGGGTCATCTTCCAGCTAACAAGAGAAAGGTGTGGCTACTTGCACATGCTCAATTAATAAATCTTAAGGGATAGTTTTTTGTTTGTGCTGGTTTTTGGCCTTTGGTAATCATTCTAACTAGACTGCAGTCACACTTTCAATGTGACAAATATTTTCCACACATTGACACAACTAGAGAACAGTCTGACTAGACAAGGTGTGGAGATTTGTAGGGAAAACAAAAGACAAGTCATACAGAGTTAAAAAAGATGTCTTACTCATGATATGTTTATCTCTTGTTTTGAATGTACATGTATGCAATGTTCCCCACTGTTCTGAGTCTTATTTGATAATTCAGCTCTTGGCTCCCTTCCCCAAGTTTTGGTTAGATAATCAGTTCATTCAAGCTTATATGGAGCAGTATTGAATCATTTTGTAATATTCTCTCTATGGAAATGGTGGAATTTTCACCCTCTGTGTAATTCCTTATCCATAAACAAGGTGTTCACTTCCAAACTGTTTTCTACACAGGAGTCCTGCAGTAGCTGGTGCAGTGGTGGCCATGGATCGACATTACTTCCAAAATACTGGAGCTTATGATTCTGACATGACCATGTGGGGAGCAGAAAACCTGGAACTATCCATTAGGGTAAGGACGTTAATTAAAACATCAAGATGTGGTAACTATTGCAATTTTAAGGAACCTGAGTGAAAAAGGAAGAAGATATTTGTAAAAACAGTGCAGAACATGTTTGGTTATGGAGACTACAACCTTCCCTGCAGAAATCAATCCCCATGCTCCACAGCCTGTCAGGACTATACAAGAACATGCAGCTGCTGTGAGTTAGGAGCATTATGTCAGAAGAAGGAAGTTTTGCTGGCTATCACTATCTGCCTGAGGCCTGAGTCACTGCTTTTGGCACCCTCTGAAAGCTGCCTCTTCTATTCTGGCATGTTAACATGCACCAAAGGGAGAGAAGCTTTATTTCTTTGCCAGCCTGTAGTTTTAATAGCAAATTGTTTATATTAAATCCTTTGCATTGATTTTTGCTGAATATGGAGAGTAACTGATATTGAAAACCAATGAAAATTGCAGGCACAAAGGGGCATAGTGTTTTTATTGTCCCAGACAAGGGAAGCTGTGCACCCAGATCTCTCCACTACTCTGCACTGTTTGTGCACAGAAAAACATAAAAGCATAATAGCCATACTGGGTGAAATCAGAGGTCTCAATGCCCAGTATCTTCTCTGTGTCTGTGGGGAGCAATGTATGAAGAAGCATATAATAATGCTCCTGCTGTTTCCAGGATTTTCTGAAGCGGAGCCTAGAGTAAAAGAGCTTCTCCCTTTCAGATAGAAGTAATCTAAATAAGGTAATCTCTATTTGTGCTTTCACCTGTGTTTCAGACCTGGCTCTGTGGTGGCTCTGTAGAAATTATCCCATGCTCCCGAGTTGGGCACGTCTATCGAAATCACTTCCCCCGCGCTTTCTCCTATGAAGAGGCCATTGTGAGGAACAAAATCCGGATAGCAGAGACCTGGCTGGGCTCCTTTAAAGAGAACTTCTACAAGCATGACACAGTGGCTTTCTTAATCAGCAAGGTAAAAGCATCTCTAGTGGTTTGTTTTGGAGGTTTGTGTAGAGATAGGTGAAGGGAGAGGAATAGGAGTGGTGGTATCTGTATGCAGTCAGATGCAGGGGATAATCTTTTTATTAAACCTTCCAGCGGGTGAAAGGGCTGTCAGATCAAGGAGGAAAGAGAGAAACTTGTGCCTAAGTTCAGCTTTGTGCTGAAGTTATCAAATCTTATGGAGTAAAATCTCTTCTCCAAATGACTCCCCAACAAGCTGTGGTTTGTTTTGTCACTGATGGAGGGTTGTGATGCATCTGAAGTGGAAACCTGCAGCATTGTGTGCTCAAAGGATGTCCTAGAGGGTTCATTCTCAGTTTCTGGTTTTCCTCATAGGGTTCATGAGGATATTCAGTGTTAGTCACAGGCAAGTGGCAAATTATAGTCTCTCCTGGAAGGGAACATATCTGAGTGGTCTAGTGACAGAAAAGGTATGTTTTTTTCCCTGAACTGACACATCCAGAAGCAACTGAACCGAGAAAGTCAGATCTCAACATGCCACTATTTACAAGTTACCTTTTCATTAGAAGCAGGGTGTGGACATCTGACTAGACATTCCTCCAGGAATTTGGATTCCCAGCAGCCTGTAAGCTAGGACAGGCTTGCAGGCAGATGTGTGGTATAGCCCTGACAGGCACCTACAGTTGAACCACCTGCAGGTTACACACCATTCAATAACTACAGAATGGCCACACCTGTTTTTTAAGTACAATCTCCATGGCAGATCAGGGGTAGTCAAGGAACTGTATATCCCTTGTATTACAAACAAGTGGATGTTTGCTTACTGGGAGTCTTGCAGCTGTGGGGAATGTTGTTTGTGGAGTTAATGTTGTTAATAATGTTAATGTTGCTGCAGTTCTCAGGAATTCTCTGTCTCCGGTACCTTTTCTTATAATCATATTCTTTCTACAAGGCAGTGGACAAACTTGTAAGCAGTTTTGAATGAAAGTGTACCATTTAACAATGTCAGGCTTTTAAGGAGAAAAAAAATCACTGAAAGCGTTTAGGCAGAGCATGAGTAAGTGCTGTGCAGTTTCCCATTCATATCTGCTCCTGTGTTTCATAGAATCAGAGAATGGTTTGGGCTGGAAGGGACCTTAAAGATCCTCTCATTCCCACTCCCCTGCCATGCACAAGTATACCATTCACTAGATCAGGTTGCTCAGGGCCCCATCCAGCATGGTCTTGAGCACTTCCAGGGATGGGGCATCTACAGCTTCTCTGGGCAACCTGTGCCAACGCCTCACCACCTTCTGAGTAAAGGATTTCTTCCCAATAACTAATCTAGACCTGCTCTCTTTGAGTTTAAAACTACTGCTCTTTTTGTAAGTCCTCTTTAGGTACTGGGAGGCTGCTCTAAATTCTCCCTGAAGCCCTCACTTCTATTCAGTTTCATCAAGTGATCCCCAGCTTGCTCTTCCCTTGTAGGGGGAGGAATTTCCTTCCCCTTTCCCACTCACTCAGAGGATCAGGGTCTTGAGAGAATGGAGAGCCTGACTGCCAGCAAAGACTAAGGAATACAACTCAGCCTTCTCCGTATCAGTCGCCACCAGTTCACTCTTCTTGGTTATCAGCAGGAAGGGGGGGCTACACTCACCTTGTCCTTTCTTTTCTGACCTATGTATTTATAGAATGAATCCCTTCTTGTGATTCTTTGTGTCCCTTGCCAAGTCCTGTTCCAGCTTTGCTTTGGCTTTCCTGTCCCCACCCTGACACATTCAGACCAATATCCCTGTACCTTCCTCAGGTCACCTGTCCCTGCTTTCACTGTCTGTGCATTTCTTTCTTACTCCTCTGTTTGAGGAGCAGATCCTTGCTCAGCCATGTTAATTTATAGCCTGCCTTGCTCAATTTCCTACACACTAGGATAGAGAGCTCTTGCACTGCAGGAAAAGTGGCTTTAAAGAGCTGTCAACTCTGGTCAACACCTCTGCCCTTAAGGACAGTTTCTTAGGGCATCTTTTTCACCAGCTCCTTAAACAGCTGGAATCTTGCTCTTGCAAAGTTCAGGGTCTTAACTGCTCCTCACCAGGTTCACACTCCTTGAGATCACAAACTCAAGGCCTTGGTTGCTACAGCCAGGGCTGTCACCAATCCTGAAGGCTTTAATGAGCTCACCTGCACTGTGAGCACCAGTAATACCTGTCCTGCATGCCTCATTCATTCAGGGCTGACCATCACCCAAGAAAGCCAGATCCAGCAGGAGCTGCATTATAGTGGGGAGAGGAATAGGACTGTATATCAGTGTGACTTCTCTCTTGCTGCCTAGCCTGACCTCCTTATGCTCACCAGTGGATCTGCCTCTTCATGAGCCAACTAATTGTAGAGTCTGGAACTATTGTGTTTCCTTTTTTACTCTTATTTTCACATATTTTTAAAAGATCCTCCCTCATTGTCTGTGTTGCAGGTTTGAACTTCACTGGCCAGGAGCTTGTCAATTGATTCACAAAGGTTTATAGCCACTAGACCAAGCTTTTTAAAATGGGCAGTGAGGTTTTTAAATCATTTAATAATTCCCTGAAGGCTTTTCTTGTCAGCTCAGAAGCAATTTTCTCTACTAAAAACTACAGTCACCAATGATACAGCTTGCTAGCTGTAAGCAGCATGACCTTTTGCCTGAGTTTATTCTAGCCAGAATACTTTTACTACTTCTGAGTATGATGCTCCCTCAAATGATCAATTTTATGATCTCTGTGTGCAGCGTACCGTAACATAAATGGCCCTTTTTGTGTGTTCCTTTCTTTCACAGCCGATGTTTTCAGGCTGTCAGTGCAGCGGAATGTTATTCAAAAGGCACAGGCAAGCAAGGACATTATTGCCACTCAGCGGCAAAGGGCCCTGAGGGGATTTATTGCGCTGAGAGGGTGAGCAGAGCCACCTATGGGCCACTATAGAATTCTACGTGAGTCTTCATCACCACCATTGCTCACTGCAGAAAACAACCAGTGACCCCCATTTAGGTGGCTTTATAACTCTTCTTGGTTTATGGTCTGAATCACATCTTGCACAGAATGCCTGTGGTGTGAGCATTAAAGAGATGAATTAGGCTCTTCTCAGCTCTTTACTACTTCAGCCACCAGCTCTTTTGCTCCTTTTCTTGTGTGGTTTGCATATGGAATTTATAAGAACAGTTTCCTTTCAGGTTGGTTTATAGGGACAATGACTTTCTTTACCTTATTTACACCATTTATTCAGCATCAAATGCAGACTGTAACTAGTATGATAAAATGAGATTTACTGCCACTACCTTCCTCAGCCAGGGCAGGGTCTCATGAGGAACATGTCTTTTTAGGGGAAGCGTTTTACTTCTGTCTCTCCCTTTTCCAAGAAAACCTCTAGAGGACAGGTTTGTGTGGTGCAGAATTGCTAAGCTTTGTTGTTATGCTTATTGAATCTAAGAAATACACTGAAGTATGAGGCTCTCTTTAACATACTGCAACTGTTGAGCTTTGCCTGTGGAATTTACAAAGGCTGGCAAACCAATCCATATGGAATGATTGATCCTTGCCTTTAGAGACTGACACCTCACCTTGGATCACCAAGGCCCTTCATTTGTCAGTGTTTTCCATGCTGCAAAGTCCTTTTCTTTCTTTTTTTATGGATACAGAGAAAAAGCTGATCTGGGAAAAAGTTATTTACGGGCAATTCTATGCTTACGTTGCCAATTTTAATTTTTGATGAAGAAATCCAGACTGGTTTCCTGGAATCCCATCCCAAACTGCATTTTTTAAAAAGTAGAAACATGAAGAGGGGAGATCTACTGCTGGGAAGAAAGAGGAGAGAAACTTTTAAGGGTTGTTTGATGTTTTTAATATTTGGGCACTGAGAGATTTAGAAAAGTGTTTTGTGTGGTTTTGAAACTGCAGAATTAGACACATAAATGCTTAGAGGTTTTGAGAACCCCGTTAGTCATCTTTAGTGCTGAATACACTCAAATATTCAGTCTGTCAGCCTTTGCAGTACAGATGCCTCTAGCTGCACCAAGGGTTGAAGGCACTTGTCTTTTTTCATAAAAGAATCGCTACCAGGAAAGTTGAGAGCTGATATTGTGTCTTTATAATTCAAGAAAATGGAGAAATCATAGGAAAGGTTTTATGTATTATAGCTGCAGAACACCTTTGTTCATTAGATTTAGTAACTGTCAGATAATAGACAGATAATAGGTGATAGACTATATTTTGGGTTAAATTCTGTCATCACTTATTCCCTCTGATCATAGAGGACTGACAGTAACTGGATAATTTGGGCTGTTAAAGGCCAGGAAATTGAGTTTTTATCAGCGGGAAAAATTCCATATTAAATGGCAATCTAATACAATCCCACTGAATTCCAGTGCAACAACTATCAAACTTGGTCCTGATTTTTAAAATAAAAATATGACAAAGACTGACTTATCTTAATAATAATTTTTAGAGGACATTTCACAATGTATGCTACTTCTGAAACACTTCTGTCTCGATGCCAGACTGTGGCTGTTTTAGCACAAAGTCTGAGGAAGGCTAAAGCTGGATCTCCCCCTTTGCATATGTCATAAGAGATACATTTAAATATCTGTAACATTCAGGATAGAAAAGGTGGTAGAAATAATTCCTGTGTTGTCATTTCCACTCCTAGCATCTCTAACACAAATACACCAATAACCTTGCTGCCCTTTCTCCATAAAGGCAGAAAAGCCAGACTGCAGCGAGCGCCTTCAGCTACAGAAGAGACTGGGCTGTAGAAATTTTCAGTGGTTTCTATCAAATGTGTACCCTGAACTCTCCCAGTCTGGAGACACACCAAGGTTCTCTGGCAAGGTAAGAGAAAACACACTATAAAGAATGATCTTCTTTTTTGCATTGTTCAAAGACTCCAGTGTCACTTCTGAGTACTCGGTCCAAACAGGCAATGCAACCAGGGTGGGAGGAGAAAGAAAAAGACAAAGAGCTGGCCCAAATTCTCACATAAATGTTGAAAACCAGCCAGGAACTGAACCCAGAGTGTCTGACTCAGTTCAGTGTCACAGCTCAGAGGATCCTAACCTTAGGTTCTTCAGGTGCCATTAGTAAAGGAAAAGAACTGTGTTGCCTCATGCAGATGGCAGAAGTGACAGCAGCCAAGATATCTCTGTGCTGACCCATGTGCACAAAGAGAAAAAAAGGATTTCTTCAGTCCTGCACTTCCTAAAGGAGAGAAGTGATAGCAATAGCAGTTCCCTGGCTGACTGTGTACAGGACAGGGAATGTCGGGTTTTTTTTAAATACAGAGTTGATAATTATAATTCATTGAATATGAATTTATTCCCAGCAGCCTTACTGGAAGGGAGCTTCCCCCAACAAGGCAACAAGGTCTACTAATTAATTCACACTCAGCTATCTTCAGCCAGATTTTACTGTGTCCTTTAACTATTTTGAGTGCTCTTTATTTTCAAAGTTAGCTTGAGAAAAGTGTAAGAACTGAGTTTGGATCACAGGAATTGTCACGTTTCTTTTCTTCAGGAATATCTTGTGTTTTTTCTGACTACAGTGTCCTGTTGAAGTGCAATTTTTCACTAGCATAAACATTTAGATACCTTTCTTTTAATTATCATAATAGTTAAACCCAAAAGTGGATCTCTCTAATTTAAACAAAACTCACTGGGTAACTGACCCTTGGTGAAAGGGTCTGCCTTTTATATCACATTAGTTTGCAAGATCAATATGCAAGACCAAGTCTGAAAGAAAAGAAATACTGCCTGATTTATGAACAAAATCATATATCATAAAGGGATACAATCACAAAATGTTAGGTGAAGGATATTTTGTTTGTATCCAATTGTGATTTATTTCAGTATAAACCTTTACTTACAGCTTTACAATACTGGTGTTGGCTTCTGTGCAGATTACAGGCCTGGAAGAGCTACTGCAGAAGGGTCTATTGAGCTCTCCCCTTGCAGTGACAGTCCCACCCAGGTAATACTTTGAGTGTATAGGCACTGTGTCAGACCCAGGGAGCCATGCAGAAGACAGGCACCCCAACATGTAAGGGGCTGGGTTGACACTAGTGGAAATACTGGCATGTTCAAAATTAGCACGTGCTAAAGCAACAATGCCCACTCTTCCACAGCTAAGTGCCACTCAAAAAATGCCAATGTCCCCATGTGTCACTGAGGCAGATACCCACACTTTGCTCCAGAAGACAGAATTAAGCACTTATTTGTTTAGTATATTTGGTAGTGTCTGGGGAAGAGAAAGCTTGTGAGTAAAAAATACTTAACAATTCCAAAATATAGAGGGGGAGGAGGGGATTCTCCCTTAGTGACTTAATCTGAAGATTAATGCCTAAACTGCAATCTTAGGCAGGAAAAAATTCATTTACACTCCCTAGCTGGCATCGGTCTAGCTCAGGGTGAGCTGCAAGCACATTTCAAACTGCAGCATGTGAAGACACTGTCAGAAACACCCTTCTGTTCAAATATTTATGAAACTGGAAAATTTTATGACAGGGTGGGTTTATGTCACACATAATCATAGTTCACAAAGCCTTTCCTTGGGTAAATAGTTATGCCAGAATTAGCTAGCAGGGGGAACTGCTTGAAGGGTCAAGGCTGTTGGGTCTCTGTAACTCATGTTTGGATTGCATCTTAACAAACATGTACAGGAAATTGTCTTTAGAATTAGCCTTTAAAAATGAACTGGGATGTCCATCCATCATTGTTCAAACAAACCCTTCCTTTCCCAGCACTTTGAATATAACATGAAGGAAATCTTGCTTGGTTCTGCTCCACGGCTTTGCTTTGATGTCAGACACGGGAAGGTTATCCCTCAAAACTGTACAAAGGAGACAGACAACAGCAACCAGCACTGGGATGTCCAGGAGGTCAGTGGTGGCTCTGCCATGGGGGAAAGGCAGCTGATGGTAACTGTGGGATCACTGGGTGATTTCCAGATTTGTGTGTGAGGAAAAGATGAGGTACCTGAAAGGAAAATTCCACTTCTGTACTTTTTTAACCCAGAAAAAAATAGGATGTCTCAAGCCCACTAACGCTGTCAATGTAAAAAGCATTTGGTTTAGAAATACAACTACAGAAATCCTACCTAAAATCCTGTGTCTTTGTTTTACCTGTTTGTCTTACTGGCCTTATTGGAATAGAATCAGAATCAGTGCTTGTGAAAATAAGAGCAGGGCAAACCCTTTCCCATTTCTTTCAGATTGAGGAAGGGTTTGGAAATCCTGACCGCTCCCAAATGAGAGCCCTTTGTGGAGCTTACAGTGGGAAACATTAAATTTTCTGCTGCATTGTAAGAGAAGAGCAAACTTCCTATTAGAGGAATTCACTGTTTTTCAGTGAACTTTACCCAGCAGAGCAGGAACTCCTCAACAAGACTGAAAAATGTCATGCTCTGAGACAGCCTGGGAAAATAGTAATTACTGTAGTTGTAGGGATCCAGCAATCCTCTAGAACAGCCCTACTGTAATTTGGTTTGATTCCTAAGGCAAGCACTGGTCCTTATGAAATGCTGTGGCCTGTAGTACTGAGGTGATGCTGATGACAACCTGTAGCCATAGGAAAAAAACAGTGGTGGAAGAGAACTCAGCCCCTACCACTCATGTTAGCTTCAAAAGGAACTATGAATATTCACCATGCTCTGGGCACACAGCTAAATCCAGTCATTGTGTTTGGAGCATTGCTTAAAAAATATTTGAACAACCAGTTATTACTGGTGATATATTGTATATAAATTTTCTGAAACATGGTCTAGCTTTTACTGGAAATCCCTTACTTTTCATTTGTTCTTTCTTTCCCTTCTTCTCTCATCTTGTAGAATGGAATGATTGTCCATGTCCTTTCTGGCAAATGCATAGAGGCAGCAAAGAGTGAAGATGAGAAGGACTTGTTTCTGTGTGCATGTAACAAGAACACAAATCAGGTGTGGCAATTTAAGCGTTCCCATGGACTGCGTCAGAGGTGACTGGCAGGTCTCTGCAGAGGTCAAGTCTCCAAAGTTTAACATTACTTCTGCTTGGGATTTAAGATGCATTTCCTGCAAGGACAAGAAAGATGTTTGTGTTTGCTGTAGCATGCAGAGAAGTCAGGAATTTCTCTTGTTTAAAAGCCTGGCTCCTGGTTAACCCAGCTCTAGCTAAAACCTCTATTTATTCTGTGAAGCAGGGAATAGAGAGATTGTGAGAATCAATAAATTCTCAACTCTTCTATTGCAGAAGACACTTAAGTTTGCCCTTTGATGGAAACATGGAAAATTGGCTTCCAGACAGCTTGTCTTCAGTATATGCTGTGACTTCTCAGGATACAGGGAAAAAAGTGAGATTTTTGAAACTATAAGAGGAAGCCAGCTAAACCAGGACAGGAGTTTAGCCTTGTTTTACAGTGCCCTCGACTCATATAAAACAAAGTAGTTTTGTATGTATGAAAGTAATAGATGTTTCCACTTGTAATGGCAAAAATTTTGTTTTCCAATTAACCTGAGCCAAATTTCTACTCTCTGTGAGATTACACAGAGCATAAATTAACACTTAATTAGGCACTAATTGCTCTAATTGACTTGGACTACTAACAGTCCTCAGTGTTTGGCACACCATTCCTTAAATCCTTGTCCACAGTCTAATTTGGATGGGAGAATGAGACTAAAATATTAACAACTTTTTTGTTGTTGTTTTATTTATATTTAAGGACAACTCCTCAGGAAACTTCTGTGGTAGTAAGGAGGGTAACAACTTCTCTGCATATTTGCTAATAGAAAGAATCGGCGGCATCCATTTGCTCTTGTAAAGCCATGGGATGAGCTTACTATTATTATTATTATTATTACTATTATTATTATTATTACAGTAACAGAAGTGCTGGCTGAAAACAGCAAATGAAGGGAAACAGCCAGTTTCAACACTGTCTGCCTAGGAAGAAAATACTGGTTTGCTTCCATTTGCTTGCAGCCTGAGTTAAGTCTTTCAAGCTGTCAGTTTTAGCCAAGAAGATTGTATAGATTCTTGCAGTCATGGGTCTTCAAGATGATCCTGAAAAGACCAAATTTTCTAAAGAAGCTTCTCCTGTAGAGCCTGCATTGCTGCTGACCTGCTGTCTTTCAAAGGAGTGAATAAGAGATGAGGTTAAATAACAAGAATGATCTCACACAGTATGAACTTAGCCAAGTAAACTTCCACTTCAGTATCTTATTAGGGTACTTTCTTTTTTGAAGATAAAGTCAATGATGACACTTCCCAAGAGCCTGCTAAGAAAGAAGAAAAAAGATTTGGGAGTCTTCCCACATCAACACCACATCTGATTAAAAGTATAGATCAAGCATAATCCTATGTACATATTAAAGGGGAAGGTCATCTTTAATGAAACTCACTTAGGTTTTGCATTATTTTCAAGAGAAAGAAAATTGTAGGATTTTTTTAAATGCACAGCACATTGTTTAAACTTCAGAGAAAGGAAGGAGTAACAGATTATTCAGCTTAGAGCCTTTCAGTTGCCTGCTTTCAGTAAATCATAATAAATTGGTATTAAGCATATAAAATTGGTTACAACAGAGGACATGAAGAGTATTGTTGTCCAAAACAACTCCCAGTGTCTAACTCTCTGCCTACTTTGAGTGCTAAAGATTCCACACTGTGTTCAGGCATCACTCCAATCATCTTGATTACCACTTATGCTTTCTTTGATAGCATCAGAATCTATTACTATTTCTGCTGTGTCATTTAAAATTTCCTGTGACATTCTGGAAAATGCTTTAATTGTCAGCTAAGATGATGATAGCAACCTCTTCCAGAACACAAGTGATACCTGACCATTGCCCAAACCTAGGGTGAGAAAAGAGAATTTTTTTAATTGCATAAATGCTGAGTAAAATGCTGTTTTAATGACATGTGATGCCTTTATTTTAAATTATGACTATGCCAGGTTTTTAAATTATGTATTATTTATTATATTTTGGACACTACACTGGGAATACAATTCCTTCAGAATTTAGGTAAATTCTAAAAAACATGTATACAAATATGGTAATTGACCACAAGTGATATTTATCTCAAAGAAGAATGAAAAAATTTTTGGTTTAGAGAGGAAATGTTTGGAATTTCAGAGACATGGACATCTTCATTTATACTACTTTTTAACATAGTGTTAAAAACCTAGAAAAGAAGGTTTGCTGTAGATATATGTACCATAGAAAAATATGTTACCTAATACCTCTTCACAAAATAAAATTAAAATCTATGGTGCAATACCATTTAGGAAATAATTGTTAATGCACTTGTTTCACTTAGTAACAGAGTAAATGTGTGTTTGGTTTCCAAGGGAACTAAATTCCAGAGCATGAGCCAGAAGGGGACATGGATTGTGGAGCACACTTCCCTCTAATATAAACACAACTTAGTACACAAAAATTAAAAAAAAAAAAAAAACCAAGGAAAAGCATCTATCCCTGTTTTTCCTACTTTCCTTCCTATATGGCTTTTAAATGGATTGGTTGGTTTTACCAATATTGTTTCCTCATGGTGGTCATTTAGACTTTGCCCCTGTGGTTACATCCATCAGATAAACTCTTCTCCTTATGGAACTGGGCTCAACAAAGAGTGGTGGCTAAGCATGCTGGTATGTTTTCCTCATTTTTACCCATCTTTCATGCAATACTAGCACACAATGATTCTTTGAGCACCACAAAACGTAGAATTACTTTCAGTTATCTATTTAGACATGGTCAACATTTCAGGTTCCACTAATTCCTGTGACGGGAGAGAAACATATGGACAAAATGTTTCATGTGAGGATGAAGCAGTTTAAACTTTGAAAGCTTCCAAAGACTCAGGCAAGAGCAAAAGAATTCCAGCATAACACAAATAAATACCTTATAATGTAACTCCACCTGTTTCTTTGAATTTCACAATCCAGGCACAGTGCTTTGAGCCAAACCCACCCATGAAGCTGAGCTAAAAGGTCAGATTCCAGAACAGGTCACCTTTTGGTTGACAGCACTTACTAAACAACCTAGTTTATTCCTCTCCCAGCTCATGGAAAATGGAAGAAAATAAAGACTTGAAATGTTATTCAGAGTACTTTTAAAGCGAGCCCCAGTTGATGCAGTTGGTGTTGGCTGTAGGCTGGGCTTTGTTCTGTTAGGTGAGGTGCCATCACTGGCACAGAGAAACAATGGCAGCATTCCTCTCCATGTGTTAACCTGAAGTCTAAACAGGGACAGAAGGTTTATCAACCTTCATGCTAAATCCTGTAGCACAGAAATGTTGAGGGTATCTCTCAGTCCACGTGTAAGTGCTTCCAGGTGCTGCCTTGAAGATGTTCATTGAGCTGTAATACTGTCTCCTGATTGAAATGCAATAGCTTCCATTTCTGATATTCCCAGGAAAGAATGGAGCTACATTCAGGCATCCTAGACAAGAACAGTAACAGTCTTGGTTTCCATAACAGTTGGAAGGTGACATGTGAGTGAGAGCTTTCAGACTCTAACTTTGTATCTCATTTTATCTCAAGCAGTTTGATTCAAACTGCAAACATATTAGAAGAGAGTAAAAAAGGAGTGTCTTGCAAATAGGTAATATGTTTTTAAGCTCATGTTTTTAAGCTATGCAAACTGCACGTGTCTGCCCTGAATAAAGTGTATCAGTGCACAGAGAAACATATTTTATTTCCTTCATTGTGTTATGATTTGTTAATGCCTTGTTTTCCTCATGCTGCAGCAGAGCTGGTCTGCAAAAACCCAGTCAGAAAGCATCCAGTGGCAATACCCTCATTTAGCCATCACCTGACAGTCTTACAGAAATGTACAGGAGGACTTGCCCCTGTCAGCATCTTAGAGGGGGTTTGATTTTGCAGACCTTTGCCATAATTTCCATTAGTTTCATTGGAAAGGTCTGAATAAGAACTCCAAACACAGAGTCCCTGGAAAGCGTGAACTCCAGCACACCCTTCAGGCAGCTCACAGCTGCTTATTCACCAGGTGCTTTGGAAGGATGTTTTGGAAAAACAATTGGGCTACATTACTTGAGATAGAAGCCATAGTGGTTTTTCTATCTTTATAGCTGCTAATTTTTAATTTTTTTTAATTAGCTATCATTCTTGGGGATGATTATGCTTTAAACACATGGAACAGGATTCACCTCTGTCAACTGGGGCCACCTGAACAGTAGTCACAACTGAGGCAGTTGTCTCAGTTTCTTCTACTGGTGAGCAGAGTACATTTCCAGAGGTAATCAATGGCAAGTATTTAACCAGTATGGGTAAATCACTATCTAGAAATGCTTGCTTTCTCTACTGATTAGAGAGGGTTTCTTGATAATTAATTTAGATGTCATGTATAAATTTTAAACTGGTGTTAAGTGGAAGGGAAATAATCCCAAAGGGTACTCAGGCTAAAATCCCTTCCAGGAGCCCAACCCTGGTGCCCAGCTCTTCCAAGATTCCCCCAAGATCTGGCTTTAGGCACAGAGATGACAGCCAAGAACAAACTTGCTACCATCTGCAGTTTCCTCAAATGCATTAAATCCAATAGCACACTTTTCCAAGACAGCTTCTTTGTTCACAGACTGAGAGACCCCATTGTGTAGGATGCTGTGTTAAAGGATGATCTGGTCCCAAAGAAATGAGAATTTAAATTTTCAGAAGTGTCTCTATAATATTTTGAAGATGTTAACTCTAATATTAATAATAAATCTTCTATATCTTTCAGCTGAGTAGGCTGGAAGGCTGAAGTACAATTTTCACTACACAGAACAGATACAGGTGCCAGGATTGTTTGCAAGGGTCTTCTTAGCTTGAACCTAAGTTACAGACAGACCAGCCTGATGGCTGAATGCATTACTCAGTTTCTAAGTAGCTACACAATGACCTTTCTTAGAGTCCATGACCTTTGGTAATACTATAATGATATTTATTTACACCAATGGTAATTTTGTGTTACAAATTGACAAAAAGGTTAAAGTAATTAGCTTTTTGGAA